AGTGTCATCAGGGCTTTCTCAGAACTGAGCATGACCTATAAGCTCCATAGATACCAAGTCTTTGTTGTTTAAGGAGGTTAGAAGGGCACAGAAGGAAATAACATTTTATTCCAGGAATTTACAACAGTCGCTTGGCCAGATTGAAATTAGGTGCCAAGCATCACCTTAGGGAGGAAAATGTTTATCAGTGGTATGCACTTGCCTTCCGTGAGAGAGGCCCTAAGTCCATGCCCCCACAACAAAAAAACAACAAAAGGAATTTTTATCTGGGACCAAGAAAAGGGAATAAAAATGGAGACTAATAGGGAAGGTTATGGTCAAAATCAGATTTTATATGAGAGGGTCAATGCCCTAGATTAAAAAACCATGTCAAAACTTGGAGTAATTGCCAAAGCCAGCAAAGTAAAATGGGGACTATTACTCGAGTAAGGGGATGGGGAAACAATAGAGAAAAAGGAATAGCAGGGTACAAGTGATCTGATTGGGGAAATGGGAAAGGGGGCCTCTAATTAGGGAGGAGGGTAAAATAACAGTAAAGATATCTGAATAAGTCATAAGAAATCATGCTATTAAATGTCTTCCTTAAAAACTACATTATACCAAAGTCTGAGTATAGATACACATATATAGATATATAGTCAAAATGAAATTTTCTCATCTGGGTTAACAATGTTCCCTTCAAGAGCCAAAGACCATATAACAAAAACCCAACACCAGGCATGAGAAGCCCTTTTGAGTTGTTGGTCAGGGCTGTCCAAGAGACTCCCAAAACATTATAGGCTATTCCTATTGTCCTTGGTTGTCCTGCAAAGGAGGAGGGTAAGTACCTATTGCTGAAGACATCACAAACTTCAGAAAGAGGGCCTGGGAGTCCTTGAGGACTAGCTTTCATAGTGTCATAAGGTGCCATGCAATCTTACAAAGGAGGAAAGCAACCAACAGTCCTACATCCCCACAATTACCTACAAATCAATGACCAGCATGATATGATAACCCCAAGGATGCTGTAGTGGCACATATGCCTTAGTGGTAAACAACGGCTCTCTAATTGAACTTAAGATCCACTGAACAAAAAAGAAAATATGCCTGGTACTGGATAACTAACCAACTACCAAAAGGTTCCAAAGTTGTGGATCTTGGAGGAAAATCTAAAACCACTTTACTAAACTGGCATAACCCCTATCAACGATCTAAACATTTGTCCTTATACCCACAGATAAGTATAATCCTCACCTCTTATCAACAAAACTTCTCTTTGCAACAGAAAACCACAATCGATCAAAAAGTAGGGTTGTGGTTTCCAGTCCCAAGTCTACAAAACAACCCCCTCACCTAAGGCTCAGGGAACATTATGAAAGAGGGAACAGAAATATTCTAAGTGCCACAGGGTCAGGGAATTACCTATGGGGCTGTGTCTCTTAGTACTGTCAGAAGTTACACTCACGGGCTCACCAACATGACTGTCTAAACCTGAGCGGAACAAGGGCAACAGACATAGTAAAATGGATGGGGTGGGATGTGGAGGAGCCCATGAGGCTTCAAACCTGCATAAGGAACTACAGGCAACTAAGGAATGCTGAGAGTGAGAGAAAGTCTTCCCATGGAAGAGCCCTGCAAAAATACATACAAATAGCATTACACATTATACAGACTGAGTAGGTTATATTTAGAGACATATATGTATATATAAGGACCTATCTATAACCAATAACAATGAAAATAGAGGCCGTGAATTTGAAAGAGAGCAAGGAGGGCTACATGGGACAGTTTGGTGGGAAGAAAGGGAAAATGATGTAATTGTATTATAAATCTCAAAAAATATTTTTAAAGATCATGTTAAGATGAGAAATTTAGGCAAGAAAACTACAGCCGTAAAAAAAAAAAAATGACTACAGAGAAACTCAAAATAAAACTTCACTGAACCTCCCTGGAAGGCTGAGGCAGGAGGATCATGAGTTTGAGGCTAGACTGGGCTTCAAAATGAGATCCTGTCTTAAAAAGAAAAAAATAAATAGTGCCATTGGTTTCTCCTAGTGAAGATGTAGTCATATGCATTTCTCTGAGAAAAATCCCTAAAATCTTGCCTCCTAATACAATGGTGCCTGATTAGGAAGCATCCCCCCACCTTTTCTGTTGTCTCAAGACTTCTCATGCTGACTATTGGGCTATAGATGAGTAAAACAGAGCTTCACAACTGCAAAAATGATATGTAGAGACAATTCTGAGCCACAAATTCCCAAAGTCCATAAAAGGTAAGATGCTGGTCAGGTTTCTGAGATAGTTGGCTAGGGCAGGCAGCAGACAGCAGCAGAGATGACTCCCCTAAGTATTGCCCATATCAGCAACAGTTGTCCAGGTGTACTAAGTGAAATTCTGCAACAAGTCCTCTTAAATTAACTCATCCTTGCCTGCGGTCCTTTTGAATGGTCTTCTCCTTTCTCAACAAAAGTTAGGAAATCAGGCCTAGAGAGGTTAATTGGCACCTCAGAGGTATTGCCCAGTAAAGATAGTGATGGGATCTGTGTCAGGGAATCCCCTCTGGAGGCTGTGTACTATGGTTTGCTGTGTTGGCTAGAAGGAACTATAAACTTGCAGCAATCCATTGCTAATGTCTGGTAGGACAGGTAGGTGAACTGTTGACAAAGTGCCTTCCAAGCAAAGTTTTAATTCAGAGGGCTTCAGAATCATCCATCATATAAGAAGTGGCTATTCTTCTGTCAATTTGCATGAACCTGGTATATCCATAGCATGACAAACCAGGTAGTACTGTGCATATGGTTCAACAATTTTTGCAGATGTGTTTTGAACAACTCCACATATGAGAGTCAGTCATCAGTCTACCATTATGAAGATATGCATTCTCAAATGGCAACTCAAAATTGCCTCCATTGTCCCATTTTCTTAACTGAATATTATTGGTATAAAAGGGGCTGTATATATGACATATTTAAAATCACTTATTATTATTGGGGTAACATTAGATGGATCATTTTGTACTCTTAACTCTGTCCCCCTTTTAAAATTCAGCTATGTATGTCAAATAAACTATTTCTTCCCCAAGTTGTTTTTAAACATGGTGCTTGCTTCAAGAGAAACCCCAACTAAGACACAAGCAAACACATTTTTCTTTTAATTCAAGCATCTTTAAACATCTGAGGTAAGAACGCTAAAATCACCTTCCATCTTGAGATGACAAAAGTAAATAAACAGAAAGTATACAAATTATCCAATGCCACAGCACACAGTTATTGAGTGAGATGGTAACCAGGTAGGTCTGTGAATCAAGCTAACTCAACAATCTTAAGAACAGCAGCTGAGAAAGGGAAGCTGATTCCCTATATTATAACCACTCACACTAATATGAGACCCAAGAATAACAAACCCACCTAGC